CTTCAAAATATCTTCTTTTGTTTTCAGTAGAAGTACCACAAAGAAGTGTAGAGAAAATGGCAGGAGCTTAAATAAATGATGATGGAATTATTATTATCGGGGGAAGCTATCCTTTTAAGTATAAAACAAGTAGCCTATGTGCGATCTCATAAAGCTTCAGGAGGATGAAACAAAACTATTAATTTGTGTCACAATAACCTGTGATCAAGGCACTATGACCCGAACTACAAATTTACCAATGATATAAACTACAAATCCCATCATGTACCTCACACACACCATTTCCAATTTTCTCCCTCATTGCACACACACAGCTGGAAGCTCATCATAGACTGATAACTAGGACTATAAAGACACTTCATTCACAAACACTCTTTGCTGAGTCTTGTTTACCTGTAACATTACAAAGCATTATCCTCGTCTAGTTTTGTCATGCCTTTTGATCCTTGCCTTGCTTCTTGTTTATGCTGTTTGCCGCCTGTCCCGACCTCTTCGACTGTGACTAATGGTGGTGAAATTAAGCTTTCCGAACCAGCGAACTTTTCAAATGTATCAGAATCAAATGTATCAGAAAAAGTTTAATTACTCAAAGCTTTCCAAATCAGAGCTCAATGGGGACCTCTGCTGGTTAAAGTGTGGGAAAGCACTGTGTTGCAAGAATGTCAAATATTCACATCTGACCAACTCATTCATGTAGTAATACAGCAATAGTAATATAAACAAATTACCCAATCACTGTAGTTTTCCTACATATAAAGTATGTTACATTACACCACTGATGACTGTAGTAAAATCTAAAGTATTCATAAGTATTTATATTAACATCCATTATGTTGTATCTAATGTAATCTAAAATCCAAAACCCCCTTTCCGAGCGGGGATTAAACTGGCGATTCATGCATGGGAGGTGAATGCTCTAAGGAGGTATTTGCACTGCTTCATCAGCTGCCCTCCGTTACACACTATACTGCAATATGCAGTGGACGTCTTTTAAAAATAGTTGTAAAAATACACTAATACACTTTAGTATGATTTAAAAACTTTTTACTATAAATTTATATTGAAAATTAGTTGAATGACTGGTGCGTAGGACCAGTGCAATGCTTTGAAACAGTAGAAATGTATGTAATTAACGCCTAATGTCTCATACACTTTACTAAACCACGAGGGTGTTTAAACCTTCATTCATTAATTCATTATCTTTTCGGCTTACCAATCACGGGTTGCCACAGTGGAATGAGCTGCCAACTTATCCAGTACATGTTTTACGCAGCGAATGCCCTTCCTGCCGCAGCTCATCACAAGGAAACACCCATACACACTCACTCACACACATACACATAGACGGACAATTTAGCTTACTCAATTCACCTCTACCACATGTCTTTGTTTGGTTCCCAGAGGAAACCAATGTGAACACTGTGAGAACAAGCAAACTCCACATAGAAATGGCAGCTGACACAGCAACGTTTTTGCTGTGAAGCGACATCGCTACCCACTGTACCACCGTGCCGCCATCGTCTTTAACCTTTGAATCAAAATTCGAAGCAGTCACATAGGAGAAAATGAAGCTTTGGACGTCACTTATCATGTGATTATGGCTAAACGAATCAAGCCCCAGTACACTGCTTCACTGCAAGACGTATCTTTTTAAATACAAGCTTTGAAGCCTCGGTGCACAACGTCACATAATTATCTGTGACCACGACTACTCTCTGGATTACCCTCATGCTAATGTTTGCTCCTGTTTGATCATTGCCTGCCCGACTAAGCTTTCAATAAACTGCACATGGATCCTCAACTCCATTGTCCAGTGTCCTAATGTTAAAATTCGGTTGTTTTTTACAAAAGACAGACATAAAAGAATTTAATTTGGAAAAATGTGATGATATGCAAATTATGACTGACATTTCATTTTCATTTGAGCTTTAAATCAAAGACAATCGCTATAATATGTCACCCAACAATTACCTGCTTGCATGCTAAATCTTCCTGCTTTAATGAACCATTACATCACTTCCTCTCCCTCCTTAGCACTTCTGACATGTCCCTCACACCTTGAGCGACACAAGTGTGAGTGTATGTGTGTGTGTGAGAACGAAAATATCTCAGGAACTGTAAAACAACAGCTCAGAGGCACATAGCGACAGCAGCTAACACAGAGCTAATTTCTTTCCTAAAAGCGGCTTGCATGTGGCGCTAACTGCCCCTTAAATGGCCCCAAACACACCAACACTTACAAACACTCACACGCAATGCCCTCCATAAAGCACTTCATCAGCTTGCCCTATGCATATATTCATAAAGATATGCAAAAGCTTTATGCATGTGGGTTTTTTCCTCCTGCCTTTGCACAAAAGCTAGCAGAAAGACCTCTGAGAGAACGGAAATTGCTAATGAGAGGCGAGGACCTGCCCGTTACACAGATGAGATGCAAACATATTACACTAAACCCTAAAGTACAGTTGAGTCTGCGAATAAATGGTGTAAAAGAGATGCTTATTGTGCTATGTGAATACTGTTGTGCTTTTCCAGAGCTCTGAATGGATGGCTTGTGGTCTCATAGAAAAAAAACATTGCTGATATTAGTGTGTTCGTCACACAGAGCCGCAGGGTACACAGTCACACACACACATCCACATGTGCTGGATAAACTGGCCTGTCAACACTCCAAATTTGTGAGCTGAGCTGCTGGGTTGAAGACAAATGAAAAAAACAATAGGGCTTGGAGGTAAGACTATATATATATATAAATATATATATATATATATATATATATATATATATATATATATATATATATATATATATATATATATATATATATATATATAATCAAAATAATATGTCAGAGATTTTTATATAATTATAGATTTTTTTATAGAAAAAAATCTTGAAAATCTTGATGGTTTTGTGGATCTCGTCTATCAAATCTGATCTTTACTTTGTATTCTCTATTGGATTCAGATCAGGTGATTGGCTGGGCCATTCTACAGCTTGATTTATGTTCTCTGATAGCACTTGAGAATATCCTTAGCTGTGTTTTGGATCATTGTCTTGCTGAAATGTCCACTCTGGTTTCATCAGTAATGTAAATGATAAACTAAAGCAGTTAATAATAATTTACAACTTTCAAAGGGCAAAGGGTTGCTGAATAACCTATGAGAGATTTCAGCTGCTGTCTGGGCTTTCACTGCCTTTCTACACCTCACTTTCTTCATGTGTTCAATACTTTTTACCTGTGTCATTTCATTTTATTACACAAAATTTAATTTGTAAACTAATTAGATTTGTTTTCTTTTGATATTTGAATTTCTTTGGTTGTTACCAACATTTGGTGAAAAATTCAAGTCAACGGCACCTTTAAAAATATGTGTTCTGAGAAAAACGGTGACGTATTGAATACTTATTTTCCCCACTGTGTATGTGTGTGTGTGTGTGTGTGTGTGTGTGTGTGTGTGTGTGTGTATACAGGTGGTAAAATAAGAAATTCAGTAAGTATTGAACAAGTTATGTTTTTTTTTTGGTAAATATATTTCTGACATTATATTATGACAAAAAAAAAACTACCAAACATACAAATAAAACAAAACAAAACAATCAGAAAAATAATAATGTGTAATAACAATAAAATGTGAATCAAAGGCGTCATCACCAAGGCTCCAAAAATATAAATTTGTTAAATTAAAAAGGCTGACACAAAGCGTGTAACGTTTCGAGCCACACGGCTCTTCATCAGACAAGACATTATTTAATAGCAATAAAATGACACAAAGAGATGACACATAAATAAAATAAAATACAATAATAACATAAAAAATTAAATAAAATAAAATAAACATGTCATAAAACAAACAAATAATATTTTATTTAAAAATTCCCATCATTTTACACTCCCCAGCATTAAATGTCACAGAATGACATCAGCACCACCCCTTGGCACTCAAAACAGAAGAGAAGCCTTGTTTCATTTTCCATAAACCTCAAACTAACTAAAAAAATCATTTAAAAAGATTCACACTGGTCTCACGTGAGTAAGAAATACAAACTTCAATATTATTATAAACATGGTTTGTAAATATGAGATTGAACTACAGTATGAGATTCACTGCCTTTGTCGACCATGTAAAGGCTGAGTGTATATTACACAGCAATGAGCTGGAGTTAATGTACTGTAACCGGTTTGGGGATTTGGGTGTCTGCTGCCAAGGCAACGCAACCTAGAAGGCACAGTGACACAATGCGTTCACAGGAAGACTGGCACAGTGTCGAAACCAGCCACGATGCGGCAAAACTCCAGCGACTCTGTCTGCAACAACAGCCAAAACTCAAGAGCTTTTCTCTGCTTAAGGCAAGACACTACAATTGAAAATTAACCAATAATTATTACCGTACTTCCCCACTGGATTTATTACATTAAAAATGATAAAATGTTTGTTTTACAAGTTTACTAAAAGTAATGTAATAATATGGAAATTAGGCTTTATTTCATTAAATACGAACTAATTTCAATACATTTCTGAACATTGGATGAAATTCAATTAAGAAAATACTGATGACAAAAATACATTATCAGATTTTTTTCAGACAATATTGCATATAATCAATTAAATTATATCCAGCTGTAAAATTATAAAAAAAAAACTGAATAAATATATGAATACAACTGTGAAGTTTGGTGTAAATAAGTGCTGCTCAAGTGGAGATTTAAAATATATATATTTTTGGATTAATGTTTATGCTTTCTCTACATTAAAATAGACAAAAAAAAAAAAAAAAACACATAATCAAAAGGCAAATGCCAATAATCCCAAAACCAATAAGCATGTAAAAAACTTAAGGACAGACAGACACTAAAATCAGAGCTTTGTTTCTCTTTCACAAAACATGTGGTAAGAGCACAGTGTAAAAGCAATTGACAATAGCCTGCTCCATGTTCGCTGCCCTGAGAATATAAACTCAAGCTGAACCCTGAGACTGATCTGAAGTCAAAGACTCACCATTGACAGTGAGGTGCACCCAGCTGCCGTTGTGGAAGGTGTGGTACTGTTGTTCCAGCATCAGGACCTTGCACTCGTACCAGCCCTGGTCTTCTGATCGAACCCTCTCAATACGTAGAGATGACTTGCCATGCAGGCTGGCTCGGCCTGTAGGGTTAAGAGTCACACAAAACATTGAGAAATGCAAAAAGGAACATTTGCTTTCTATAATTTCATTATTTAAATTGATTAATATTATTATTTAAACACAGACAATTTGTTAAAATTATTTTAAGGTCATTATTATAAGTCCCTTAAAATATATATATATATATATATATATATATATTTTTTTTTTTTTTTTTTTTTTTTTTTTTTTTTTTTAACTGACTAGGGTTTCTGCAGGTTTCACCAAGTTAAGTTTAGGACTTTTAGCACATTTTAAAGACCATTATGAATGTAATTTTAGACTATTACAGGGCTAAATGCTAAGATTTTGTTTTAAAAATCCCAGTTGGAAAAAGTTTTCACTAGCTCTATCAAAAAATTATTAAAATGTATTAATTAATTATATTTTATAAATAATAATAATAATAATAATAATAATAATAACAACAATACATTTTATCTATAGTGCACTTTTTTTAGACTCAAAAATGCTAACAAGAGCATCAGAACACAATAAAACATGAAAAACAAAAATTTACAAATTAAAAAAGAAAGCCTCATAAATTATAAGTAATACTAAAAAGGTGAGTTTTAACAAGTTTCCTAAAACAGTCCAGGGAACTGGCATTCCTGATGTTTGTGGAAAGTGCATCTACAATTTAGGTGCACGGTAGAATACCCAACCTCCCATGGTTCTAAGTTTGCAACGAGGCTGAAACAAGGCTGAGCCCCCAAGCGGAACGTAAATAACGAGAGTAGGACCACATATATAATCAGATCACATATATAATCAGAAGCAGAACCAATAACTGCTTTATAAGTTAAAATCAAGGTTTTATAATCGATGTGTGACTTAACAGGCAACCAATGTAACTGTTGGAGTGCAGTGTTAATGTGAACGGAGATGATGTAAGAGTTAAGACACGTGCAGCAGAGTTTTGAACATATTGTAAAATTTTTAAATCTTTTTAGACAATATTGTATATACCTGTACAAAAAAAAAAAACTGAATAAATATATGAATAAAACTTCAGTAGTTTAGTTATTTCAACACAAACCTATCTAGTTTGGATGATAAAAAATACATTGAAAGGTATTTACATATTTAAGACATGGTGAATATCAATGCAGTCTAAAAGTACATTTTCTATTTCTTTACCTCTCTTATTCACCAAAAAGGCACTGCTATATGTGAAATCTGTATCTGAAAAACAAAAGATTATTTTGAAAAATGCTGAAGTAATTGTATGACCCCATTGTTTGGTGAAAGAAAAATCTTACACAGAAAAAAAGGGCAAAGAGGTTTGGCACAACATGAGAGTGAATAAATTACACAGTTCTATTATTGTCAACAACAACAAAAAAAAATTATATTTAGTTAGCTGAAATAAAGCTGTCACTCTCATTCAGCTTATTCCTTCTCTATTAGGGGTCTCCACAGCAGAAAGAACCCACACTTACTCTGGCATACCCAGCCCTGAGAATGCAACCGGAAGTGTCTGGGAAACACCCACACACTCTGCCAGTCACACACTCACCTATTACAGCCAATTAACCTTATCCAATTAATCTATAACACATGTCTTTGGACTGTGGGTGAAACTGGAGCACCATGAAAAACCACTCGCAAAATAAAAATTTTAATACATAAATGGGAATTTTTTCAACTGGGACTTTAGCAGATGCTACAGCTTTCTAGTTTGATGCCTACTATAAGAGAAAATCCCCACAGCCATTTACACATTTCATTTGAGTAAATTAAATGTAATAGTTTATCTTCACTTCTGCCATGATGCACACAGCCTGGCTCCACAAGCGCATCACTCAAGAGGGCTGTTTTGGTGACAGCAGTGTCAGATCCACGGGCCATGAAGGCTGAAGTGAGAGAAGAAGTGGCCCACAGTCATTTCTGACACTCCCATGAGCACATGGAGAAACACACATCTCTAACCGTAGCAGACATAGCCAAATCCATCATGACACTATGATAGAGCTGGCTGGCTGTGTTCGAGGGTCAAGCAGTGAGCGGGATTTATGCCTTTTTTTCTATATTCTGGCAACGCTGCTGGACAGATGGCAGAAAACAACAGCAGCACAGGCAGAGGGACTGCAGGACAGGCGTTAAAGGCTATTAAGGGCCTGTGTTCGTCCTTAAAACTGCTGCCAATAGCCGGTTGATGAAGACTTTGTGATAGTCCCACAGTGTAAAAAATTAAAACAAATGTTATGCATAAATAAACTGCAATTTCTGGAGTGCAGAGAAGGTTTGCTCTGGACTATTTCCAGAGGCTGTGGATCAACTGTGTAAATAATGCTTAGTTTCTTGCGCAGTTTTAGTTTTCTTAATGTACAGTATTGTCAGAAGCCACCGGTGTTGTTTTGCCTACATACACACTCAACAAAAAACATATGTAATACTTTTGTTTTAAAGATCTAAAACTTTTTCTATGTACACAAAAAGGCCCATGTCTCTCAAACATTAATCACACATTTGTCTAAAAGTAAGATAGAATTTCTGCTATGTGAGATAATTCATCCACCTCATAGGTGTGGCATATAAAGATGCTGTTTAGACAGCATGATTATTGCACAGGTATGGCTTAGGCTGGCCACAATAATGTGCAGTTTAGGCACACAGTACACTGCCACAGGTGTTGCCAGTTTTGAGGGAGAATGCAGTTGGCATGCTGACTTCAGGAATGTCCACCGGAGCTTTTGTCCATGAATTGAATGCTCATTTCTCTACAACAAGTCATCTCCAAAGGTGTTTCAAAGAACTGGAAGTACATCAAATTGGCTTCAGAACCACACAGCATGTGTAATCACACCATCTCAAGACTTCCACATCCAGCATCTTTACCTCCAAGATTGTCTAAAACAAGCCACCTGGACAGCTGCTGTAAGAAACCATCTCAGGGAAGCTTATCTGCAATCCTATTGCAGTTTGTCATTATAACTGACTTGAGGGGGCAAATGCCATCTATGTGTTAAAGTGTCCATCTATGGTCTAGGCGAGGGGTGGCCAAACTTGGTTCTGATGGGCTGGTGACCACGTAGCAAAGTTTAGCTCCAACTTACTTCAATACACCTGCCTGGGAGTTTCTAGTATACCTAGAAATAGCTTGATTAGCTGGTTCAGGTGTGTAATAGGGGTTGGGACTAAACTCTGCAGGACATCGGGCCCACAGGACCTATTTGGGTACCCCTGATCTAGGCCTTCCAGCATACATACATACATGCAGACATTCATAAATGCAACTTACACTTACCAACTTTCAAAAATGTTTAAATATGCAAACTGATAGCCAATCATATAATATTAAATGGAGATCAGAAGGCAGTTCATGACCCCTTTAATGTCAGGTGGAAACACTTGTAAATGAATCAATGACAACACATTAAATCCAGGCGCCAAGAAGGCCTTGGTTTAAAATACAGTTTCAAAATAACAAATGGTTTTAAATATTTCTATCTTTTTCTCCTTTTAATTAAACTGGTACTTAAATGTGTCCCCTGAATATGTCTCTGAAAAACCAAGGTCACAAAATCAAAAGCCTTTAGAAATCCTCCTTACACACAGCAGCTTGTGTGAGGACCGGCAGATCAATAACACTGAAGGAGAAGCAGAAGCGAAACGAGAACGGTCAAACGCCTGGCCTATTTTTACAGCTGGGAGAGAGTGTTGATGAGAGCGGGAGAAACAACGCTGACACGCGATGTAGGTTAAAGATAGTCCTCAGGAAGTCACACACTAGAGGTCAATACAGTACGGAAGTGCATTTTTCCATTGTCTCCATCGGTATTGCTAACCTGTATACTGTATGTGTAATGCTTGAATGTTAAAAAATCCATAGGGTGAATACAAAAGATGCAGTGGCATTATAGTTAATTAACTAAATTAACAGAGACATTAGAGCTGAATGCTTAATAAAAAGGCTAAAATGCTTTAAATACTTAAAATTTAAATACTTCAAAAATATATATATAATGAGATTAAATTTCTTTTGGAACACTAAAAAATATTCTTGCTGCCTTAATTTTTTTGTTGAATCAATAACAGTATAGTGTCCCCTCATTTTTTTGGGACATTAGGACTCACACAGACCGCAGGAGTGCTCGCTGCTGGTCTCCACTGACCTCCAACAGCAAACTAGTTTTCCCATGTGGTCTCCTATCCAGGCTCAGCCCTGCTTAGATTCAGTGAGTAATTGGGCTGCAATGGTGATATGGCTGTGACAACTTAGATCAATCAAACTAAATTAAACTTTGTATAAATTTTTAAAAATCTAGTTGAAACCTGATTAACTTATTAAAATAAGTTTAAAACTATAAGTTAAGACTGTAAGAAGATACCTCTGTAGATGGATCGCATTTCATGTCACGTTTAGCCTTATAATCTTAAAGTGTGACCAAAATCAGCTTTTTTGTCATTACTTTTGACATTACGCTATAGAGAGTCATTCAAACAATAGCTCTAAATTGACGTTGGTAAATTAGTACTGGCTTCTGCTGTTTGGACGTCAGCTGCAGAAGTGAATGAATAGCGGAAGAAAGTAGTTCCTAATAAAAAAGGGTTTTTAGACTCTCCGTGTTTGATTTTCTTATTTATATACACAATACACAATATCACACTCGTAGCAGTGCAATATGGCTCATACATATATGAAAACTAGATAAAACAGTAATAAATACATAAAACCAACATCAACAGTATTTCTGTATTTCAAAAAAAAATTAATGAACACAATAAAGTGGAAAATCCTTTTGGGAGGTTTCCCAGTGTTGGATTGCAGCTGGAAGGGCATCTGCTGCGTAAAATATGCTATGGTTAATAAAGAGATTAAAGGGATTAATTTCATTCCTTAACACAGTATCTCAAAGATCTCCAGTATTCCATGTGTATTTTAGTTCCCCAGAATCTGAGCCTAAAACGTTAAAAGAATTGCTATGTCATCTGTCTTTTGCATTCATGAATAATACAGTGACTATTAAGTTATGTGATGTGGTCTCTATATGTAATCTCTCGATCTCATGCTTACACAAAGGCCTATTACATGCCATTCAAATGAAGTGATTTGATGACAAGCAGGCTTTTTGTGGTGGATCTGGGATATCTATACTGTATCTGTGTGTATCTGTGTCCGAGTCTCACGCACTGAGACACACAGAGCTACTGTAGATGTGCTGAGTGCAGTCATTAGTCTGGTGGATACAGAGCCTCTACAGGCCAGAGGTCAGAGGAAATACACTTCTCAATGAGGCTGTGTGTGTTTACAGGTCAGAGAGGCACACAGACTGTCTACGACACGGTTATAGATCCCGCTCTGTGGAAAGAAAAAAACTACAGAAATACAGGGCTTCTTCCTGTGTGGAACGATATGAATAGAGTGAATACATGACTCAAACAAAGCAGGATTATTATAATCTAAATCCAAAATCATAAAATCTAAACCAGTTTTGTTGCTTGAAATAAATAACAAAAACACATCACTGGAAGATTTTATATATTCTACAGACAACAATTTTAAGGATTATAATTTACAAGATTCCGAACATGACCTGGCACAATGTAATCAAAACGCAAGTACTGTACTGTACTGTACATTTAAAATATTTTGATCCATTAGTTAATGTTATTGCATTAGTTAATGTTAATGCATTTAATAACATGAACAAACCATTAATAATAAATTGATTACAGTGCTTATTCATCTTTGTAAATGTAAGTTTTAGTAAATTTTGAATAGTGATTAATAAATGATAATAATGATATTATTTATTATAATTATATATAGACCACTATTATAAAATGTTACCAAAATGTCTTTAATTATATTATATTATATTATATTATATTATATTATATTATATTATATTATATTATATTATATTATATTATATTATATTATATTATATTATATTATATTATATTATATTATATTATATTATATTATATTATATTATATTATTCTTGCAGCTGGAAGGGCATCTGCTGTGTAATAAACACATTTCCACTTATCTTAGCTTCGCTTGATTGGTTGCCAGTTCATTTTATAATATAGTTTAAAATTCTTTTATTTGTTTATAAATCTCTAAATGGTCTTGCCCCACTTTATATCTCTGATCTGATATACCCCTATGATTTCACTCGTTCTCTTAGGTCAGCTGATCAGCTTCTCCTGATTTCGGCAAAAACAAAACGGAACCTTTGGATCGTGCTTTTGCTGTGGCGGGTCGTAGACTTTGGAGTGATTTGCCGCTATACCCATTAGACAGGCCTCTTTAGTGCTCTCATTTAAATCAGCTTTTAAAACTCATTTGTTTTTGTTGGCATTTGACGTTGGCATTTTCTTAATACCTGGTTATTTTAATTTTTTTGTGCCTTTTGTGGTAGTTTAGCTAAATATTACCTTGCATTTTACGTATTTTATAGGCAATTATGATTATTTGGTTTTATATTTTCTGTACAGCACTTTGGCTCACGTCTGTGTTTGTAAAGTGCTTTATAAGTGCTCTTTGACTTGATTCTTTACCCTCCAAAGACACAAATTCTCTTCTGCTGTTCTAATCTATTCTATTCTATTCTATTCTATTCTATTCTATTCTATTCTATTCTATTGAAGAAATATTATTTTAATTACACACATCCCAGGTTTCCCAGCAGTAAGACCAATACCTTTACAATGTTTACAATGTAAAATTCCAGTATTAAATCCCTATTTTAAAAATACAGCTCAGCCTTCCACAATGTGTTTAAACTCTCTGCTGAAAATTCATTGGAAGATTCAGGATGAGAGTTTAAAAAAATCCCAAATCTCATTACTATTCACTGTGAGTGAGAGCCATTAAAATTGCATGTTCTGCCCCGAGCCACGTCTGATAAACTATCACAGTTTCTTTGCTTTTATAAATCTGACATGCTCTTAAATTATGCCCTTTCTGTTTCCACTCCTTATCAATGATGTAATTTCCAATCTCAATTAGGAAGAAAAAAAGATCACATTTGATCCTCTGCGCTCCTAACACCCCCTTTCGGCCCTCTTTCAGAGATCAGCACCCCTTCTACCTGTCCGGAGATCTGGAGCACAAGATATTAGCTTTTTTTTTCTAACCCGTCCACATGTTTTGACTCATAATCTGTTGACACGGCGCCTCTTACCCTGTGACAAAGCTTTTAGAGATTAAATATTGTGCTGAGGTCTGGACTGGGCTGATTTTTACAGACAACATTATGTGTCTTCATTTCAGAGGGTCAAATATAAAGCCTGCTGCAATACCTTGTACATGGAAAAACTGAAACTGATAAACAATATAGATGTAGTCTTACTGCCTGAAGTGTACTTACTGACAGATTACTGAACAAATTAAATCTTACAAGCCATTAACATGAAACATTACATACTGGTTTGTTTTTGTAAGTAAGTTGTCTTTAAATTGTCTAATATTAATTCAATTTTACTAATTAAATTTAGTAATATCCTGTAGGCCTTTACATTCAACATAGGTGAAAAATAATATTCACTAATACAACAGAAATACACTGATGTTTTTTGGGCTGCTGCTGATTATGAGATTAAATAAAATAAATAAATAGAAACTGAGTTTAAATTAAACTAAGCCAACCTAAACTAAAAACATAATCAAATCATGATCAAATAAATAACATAATAAAAAAACACACACAATGAAATAAAATAATAAAAATATAAATAAAAAAATAAAATGAAAAATTCTAATTAAATAAATAAAAATGTATTTACACTCATCTGTCACTTTATTAGGTACATTTGTCCAACTGCTCGTTAATGTAAATTTCTAATAAACCAATCAACTCAATGCATTTAAGCATGTAGACATGGTCAAGACAATTTGCTGCAGTTCCAACTGAGAATCAGAATGGGCAAGAGGTCAGAGGAGAATGGCAAGACTAGTTTCAGCAGATAAAAAGGCAACAGTAACTCAAATAACCACTCGTTAACCGAGGTATGCAGAAGAGCATATCTGTATGCACAACATGCCGAACCTTGAGCCAGATGGGCAACAGCAGCAGAAGACAACACTAGGTGAACAGGAACAGGAAACTGAGGCTAATATTTGTACAGGCTCACCAAAATTGGATAATAGAAAATTGGAAAAACCTTGCCTGAGTCTAGATAAGTAGGGTCAGAGTTTGGCATTAACAACATGAAAGCATGGGTCCATCCTGCCTTGTATCAACGGTTCAGGCTGGTGGTGGTGGTGTAATGGTGTGGGGCATATTTTCTTGCCACACTTTGGGCCCATTACCAACTGAGCATCTTGTCAACGCCACAGCCTACCTTAGTATTGTTGCTGACCATGTCCATCATTTTATGACCACAGTGTGCCCATCTTCTGATGGCTACTTCCAGCAGGATGACACGCTGTGTCATAAAGCATGAATCATCGCAGACTGGTTTCTTGAACATGACAATGAGTTCACGATACTCTAATGGCCTCCACAGTCACCAGATCTCAATCCAATAGAGCACCTCTGGGATGTGGTGGAACGGGAGATTCGCATCATGGATGTGTAGTCGACAAAACTGCAGCAACTGTGTGATGCTATCATGTCAATATGAATCAAAATCTTCCAGTCTCTTGTTGAATCTATGCCATGAAGGATTAAGACAGTTCTGAAGGCAAAAGAGGGTTCAACCCGGTGCTAGTAAGTTGTACCTAATAAAGTGGTGTGTTGGTTTACAAATAAATACACATAAAAATGCAATCCCTTCTAAAACCGTCTAATGGTATATACTAACAGCGATAGTAACAAAACTGAACATTCACCAGGCACTGTTCACCAGACCCTCTTTGATTGTGATTATTTTGCGTCATTCATGATCATTGTAGTATAAAAGCAAAAAGACACTCATTATTATCAAATAGTTTCTAGTTAAAATTAAAGTATTACATTTCTAAATAGACACTTCCCTACCTGAAACATCCGAAAATGCTGTTCTCTTTAACTATGAACATAAAAATGAGACATAAAAAGCCAACCTTCAAGCTACTGTATAAAGTAGGGTTCACATACAGTAAGTGTAGCTTTGAGAGAATCACACTTCTTTTGTTGGGATAAATTCAGGTTTTAGCAGATTAAGAAATTAGATAATGTCAAACTTAATAGAAACTGGCTTTTCAATAGTTTCTTGTGGCAAACCAAATACAAATGAGAAAAACAAGAAGTCTATGACAGCAATAATTAAAAAGTAACCATTTTTACCTCAAAAACAGGACAAATTTAGCTTCAAAACATTTGAATGAATATAAGTACAAAACAAATATAACTAACAATAAAAGTCACTAACACTGACTGAAAAAAGACTTTATTAAATGTAACAATAATTAATTCAATACTTTATTTATCTTCCTAAATGATAAAACTGGAGTAAACAATGTAACAAAGATAATAAAAGATGAAAAGGCCAAAATGCAAGACTGTTGTGGGCGTTACCATATAACATCAAAAATGAAATGAATAAACAATTCTTTATGCCATTATATAAAAATCTGTGCAATTTGCATCTGATTGGATTATACAACTAAACGCACATGCTGGAGGTTTAGTAGAACCCGCTTTACTGGCAAAATGAGCATGAAAATCATGTAAATGTAATCGCACATCCCTACTGATCTTTGTACTTTATGTGAACCTGCATTGTAATGTAGTAATGTGGAAATCTAAGCTCACCGGCGTACTCGGGGTCCACATGGGGAGGGTAGAAGCGGAAGTTGATGAAGAAGGGGATGGGAACTCCAAACTTGAACCACTCCACCACGTAGGGCTGGCCGTTGAGTGGGTGAACTACGTCACATCCCAGAATCACAGTCTCCCCAGCGCGGGACGTCACAAACTGGGGCTCCTCTCTGACTCCGTGGGCACCTGTGACAACATATGGACTTTGGTGAGCAAATCACATACCAGACTGTACCATCTACTCAATGAAACTGCTCTGCGGAGCAAAGGTTTCATCTAACAGCTGAAATCAGATTCTGGTTAGTAAGTCTGCGGGAGATCAGCAGGTTTACACTACAGCACTGATAAAAGCTCAATTGTATATAAATTAACTGGAAATCCTGTAATCATTTTACTAATATATATACACACACATGTTCATTATTTGTTAAGTTTGATGGTAACACTTGGCCTATTACCTGACTATTATTAAGACATGAACTGTTCATTAGCAATTGTAAAAGTATGAGCTTATTCAGCATCCCTAATCCTCCCTAAACCCTAGACTCAACTTCTAACTTACTAATTAATGTACTAATTAACTCATAACATTCAACACTGAGTTCAAAACTCTTTTCAAATGAGTAGAATTAAATTTGGGGTAACTACACTTATTTCATTTGATAAAGTTGACCGTTGGGTTTTACGGTGTATTAATAAAAAACTAGTAAGTAGTATTAGTTAATGAGTTGTGACCTAACTAAGTGTCATCAATATGTCACATAAGTGTAGGGTGTTTATCCATAATAACTTTGTATTTGTTGTTTGAATGATGTGTAAGCTGGCATTATGAAGTATGTCATGGAATGACAATATATATTCAACATTTATTATTTCTTTAAATATTACAAATGGGGATGAAATAAGCTCTTCAAATCATCAGAGAATAACAGTATATAATTGTTATGACATGTACAACTTAGTTTTTTTTTTTTTTTAATGCAGAAAGATGAGAGTGTGTTCTACAGGTCAAGCCCACTCACATTACATGACAGTTGTATAGCAGTGCTACTTGTAAAATAGCTCTCAAATAAATAAATATCTCACATATATAAAACAAGTATTGAACATCTAAATGTGCTGTTGATTGCAGTTTTCACCATATGTTGATAACAACCAAAGTAATCATTACATACAAAGAATATTAAACTAATTTGTTCAGAAATTAAGCTATCTGTAATAAAATGAAATGACACAGAGAAAAAGTATTGAATAAACTAGGAAAGAGAGTTGTAAAAAGACATGGAAAGCACAGAAATCAGAGGAAAACTGTCAGACGTTATTCAGCAATTCTGCTCCTGGTCAGTGTAAATGTATGATAGCTGCTTCAGTTCCAAATCCTACATCACCAGGTGATGAAGATGAAACCGGGGTGGACATTACAGCAACACAGTGATTCCAAACACAGCCAAGGAAACCCTTCGTTGGTTTCAGAAAAGAAAATAAAGCTGCTAGAATGGCTGAGCCAATCACCTGAACTATATTCAATAGTAAATAAGAACTAAAGGTCAAAGATCATACACAATACCTACAGTTTCATCAAGATTTAAAGACTCTGTTAAGGTCTGTAAAAAAGTCATTCTTGAGCAATGCATACAAGTCATTTTCCATACAAGAGGTGCCATGAAGATACCAAAAAAGCTTTTTAAACAAAGTATTAAACACATTTTAGTAGTTAAGTACCTTCTCTTGTGTAATTCTTTTGTTATTACACATAATTCATTTTTCAGATTTTTATTTTTGGTTTTGTTTATTTTTATGTTTAAATTGTTTGTTTGGGTTTTTACCAAAATCTGGGTCAATTAAGAGTCATTGAGTGTTCCTCATCATCATCAAGATTTCCCTTCTATTTCCCTACATTTGTGTGTGATGGTATTCACCAGGGATGGGCAAAAATAAATTGAAATATATTTTAAAATAAAATACCAAATACTTCAATTTTATGTGTATCAATATAAACTCATATATTTTGTATTTTGAAAATGCTACAAAATACTTTTACAAGGGAGCATGACATTTCTTCGCAAACCTTCCATCAATAGGTATATTCGATCAATCTCTTCATATTAAACTGACTCAGAAGTAAACGTTTGACAGCAACAGTGTTTCTCTGAGCAAATTCTCTGAGCATCTCATTCACCTCTACTCCTGTACATGAGGAGGTATTTATGAACATTTTTTTTTTTCATTTTAGTATACATTTTGTACAAGTTTCATACAGGTAGTCCTGTCTAGAAGATGATCTCTTTAATCACTGTAAAAACCAGATAATGCTTTGGAATATAGTACAACATCTCTTCATTGTGTTTCTGTCTATTGCGTGGCTGGTAAATCTGACATCATCTCTTATCAGTTTCATATTTTATGTTATATTAAGGGTGATTTTTTAATAAATCAAAATTTTGAAATCTTTACAACTTCATGTAAATACATGATTTCTGAAACTACTAACATCTGTAGTTTTAGTCATTTAAATAAATCATGTATTTTGCAAGTGTACTCTTCAATGCACAACATTACTCCATTTTTAGATTTCATGTTTTATCTGTCTTTGCAAATGAACTCTTCATATACATCCTGCTGCTGCCGTGTAACGGGGGATTGTTTGACCAGTTTGTTTAGACTGGCGTATTATTAAATATTTGTGTCTCACATTTGTGTGCCACTTTGACGTCTTTAGACAGACATCTTTCTTCTAATGCCAATGAAGTATTGTAGGAATCCCCACTGTAGTACTTATTTTTATGTTGTTTGTCTTATTTTCTTGCCATCTACATCGGCAATTACTATCACTTGTGCAGTTTACTAATTCTCCCAAAATGTTTAGATTTTCTTTAACTGTTTACAGTTTACCCCATTAGTGAACACCAGTCAAACTTCCTCTGCATTTTCAGCTACAGCACAGAGACTGAGAATGATTATTCGAAGAATCCACATCTTAAGGACTGATATTTTCATTCATCTCAATTCTTTAGCAAGGATGCTGATGCTGAATTGTACACTATACTGCCACTGCACATCACTGGTCTTAGCATTGTGCAGTATACTATCTTCAATGATTGTTAACTTGCTCTCAAATATAGCTACTCTACTCTTTATATGTGCATAATTTCCATCCATACTCCAATCATTAACCAACTTTTTAATCAAATTTCTGTTCTGAACATAAGCCTGGGCAAATAACTAAGAACGCATCAATCTGAGGCTGCATTTTTAGGATGTCATCAGACAGACTTTTTACAAAGTATTTTACAATATTTAAAAAATACAAAAAAAAAAAAACACAGGACACTAAAGTATTTTGTACCAAAATATTAGCCCATTCTCATAAACCCTATCAAATACAAATAACAAAATACCATTTTATATTTGAAATGCGTATTTGAAATACATGCATCATAAATACTGCCCATCCCTGGCATTTACCACCAACACACACAAAAATTACATTTATTAAAAAGATTTGACAAAAAAAAAAAAAACACACACACACACATTTTTTTAGTTCATACAACATAAAAGAGACAAAATCAAAGAGCGATCAACCTTTCAGTCTGCTAACTGTCTCAACAAACCGAACAGGAAATATTTGTACATATACTATAGATATTCCTCTCCTACGGAGAAAAACTGACCTTGAATGAAGGTCATTGGCAGATGAAAAAATATCATGATCAGTGTTTTAAAAAGAGAGATGGTTTCTGTAGAAGGTGCCTATAACATGACAGATAAAACAGTCTAGCTCAATCCAAACCGAGGTGGACTAAAATTGATTTATTCAATGTGTAATTTCCTTTGTGAGGCACATCACATCCAAAAAGCTGGGGAATCAAATGACTGACTCACGACTGTGATTAGATATTCTCAGCTGCTGTGTTCCCTCCTCCCTCTCTCTCTCTTTCTCTCTCTGTAATGATGTGATGATGAGAGCCGGAGCGCCGCCAGCGCGTCCCCATGCAAATACCCAAGACTCCCGCTGCACCCACTACCTACTGCAGCAGCGCCTGTGATTGGCTGCTGGTGACATCACCAGTGAGCAAAACAAGCCTTGGAAGGTATGACTTCACTGTTAGCACGACTGAGAGCAACAAGCGGTTAACAAGCTGCTCTCCCTCCTCTTCCCATCAGATTTACTCCCGTTTACAATGAAAGACACAGGGGAGAGAGACAGTCAAAGCACTTGAGCCCTGAGAGAAAGAGGATGTGCATTTACAACAGTAAGAGCCTTCTCTGTGCTAAAAATCCATCTTTTGCATACATACAGTTGAAGTCAGAATTATTAGCCCCCCTGAATTATTAGCCCCCCTGTTTATTTTTCCCCAATTTATGTTTAACGGAGAGAAGTTTTTTTTCAACACATTTCTAAACATAATAGTTTTAATAACTCGTTTCTAATAACTGATTTGTTTTATCTTTGCCATGATGGCAGTAAATAATATTTTACTAGATAGTTTTCAAGACTCTTCTATACAGCTTAAAGTGACATTTAAAGGCTTAACTAGGTTTATTAGGTTAACTAGGCAGGTTAGGGTAATTTGGCAAGTTATTGTATAACGATGGTTTGTTCTGTAGACTATGGAAAAAACATATATCCTAAAGGGGCTATTATTATTGCCTTTAAAATGTGTTTAAAAAATTAAAAACTACTTTTATTCTAGCCGAAATAAAACAAAATAAAATACTTCCTCCAGAAAAAAAAATATTATCACACATAATGTGAAAGTTTCCTTGAAAAAAATGTATACTTCTGTTTTGCTCATGCAAATAAGTAAATAAAAAATCACATATATGGTAACTTAGTTGCCCTGTAATACTGTAGATATGCACTAATATTATTCACATTGTGGTATGTACCTGGTATGTGTTTTAAAGTCAGTTTGGTACAATTTCAGTACAGCAGATGGGAAAACTATCTCTTTTAAACATTCATTCATTCATTTTACTTTGGCTTAGTCCCCTATTTATCAGGGGTTGCAACAGCAGAATGAACCGCCAACTATTCCAGCATGTGTTTTATGCCCTTCCAGCCACAAAAAACACTCACTCTTACATTCACACAAGCACTCATAAACTATGGAAAATTTAGGGCCTACTAACACAATGCTATCCGAACTGTGCCCAGCCCAGTTTGTGAGTGCTCTGAATCG